TTAATTAGATAACTGTGACATAAATATATTAAATTAATTAAATAATTAAATCATAAATAAATTTTAATAAAAATCTGATTTTTAAATTTTGAAACTTGTTTTCTTAATTCTGAAATCTATCATATTTAATCTCCCACTTATGAAATTTTTCCAAGAAAAAAAGGGTATGTTCGAAGTTTGAAACCAAACCAACAAAGCCCCAAAAATGAGGGCAACAGGAAAATATTCCATCCAATACTCTAAGTCCATGGGCGGTGTTGAGGCCGATCGCCCTCTGGTTTCATAGTAATCCTTCTTCATTCACCATTAACTTCTCGTACTATTCGCTCTCTCTTTCTCACTCTATATCTTCCTATTTTCTCTCTCTCTCTCTCTCTGAACATATACAGATAAGTATACACATTCATCATCATCATCATCACCACCCATTTCAAGAAAGTTGTGAAATTTCTGGTTTTGAATTTGAATGTTTAGTGACTTTTGGTTTTACGTATGTAATGCATCAGAAAAAATCTGAAGTTCAAATCGGAACAGAAAGCAGTGGCATCTCTTCCGATTTCAACCTCACCCCAACTTCTCTTACTCAAAAACACCCTTCTCTTTCTCAGAATTTCCGGCCAACTCTCCACCACAATCCGCCGTCGAAGAACAACGCCGCCACCTCCTCCTCCACCACTCTTCAAATTCTGATTGACAGTGAAAAACTTCAGGAGGAAAATGGCCCGTTTAATAATATTCAGCAATTTTCAAATTTAATCACTAAAGTTTCGAGTTTGTCTAATGCATTTCACAGATATGGGTTGATTTCTGCTCAAAATCTGCCATCAAAATTTAATTTCTTATACACCAAATCTCAGAAATTCTTGGCCCATTTTCACCACCACCTCTGCCGCCTCCGCCTCCACCTTCGGCTTATTCTGCTATTTGCCTTACCCTTTCTGTACTTCCTCGTATCTCAGCCTTCACACTCCTTCATTCTTGATTTCGTCTATGCGTTCGCCTTCTCCTCCGTTCTTCTATTCTCCCTTAATTTAGCCATTCCTAGGCTCCCAACGATAAGGCTGTTCTTAGCGAGATCATTCCCTATTATAATCAAAGGAAAGAACCAAGTGAAAGGGCCACATTTCCCTGTATTTTGGTCAATTGGATCAAGCCAAAATGCCAATAAAAAGGCCATTTCAGGGTGTTTTGTGCAGGCATATAGCAATGGAGATGTATATGAAGGTGAGTTCCATGAGGGGCAGTGTAGTGGAAATGGTGTGTATTACTATTTCAAGAGTGGGAGGTACGAGGGAAATTGGGTAGACGGTAAATATGACGGATTTGGGGTCGAGACATGGTCGAGGGGTAGCCGGTATAAAGGGCAGTATCGGCGGGGTCTCAGGCATGGTTTTGGGGTGTACAGGTTTTACACAGGGGATGTTTATGCAGGGGAGTGGTCTAATGGACAGAGCCATGGATGTGGTATTCATACTTCTGAGGATGGAAGTCGATATATGGGGGAATTCAAGTGGGGGGTAAAACATGGCCTTGGACACAACCATTACAGGTAAAATTTGAGCACAACTTTTTTATTATTGTTTCGTGTGAATTTATCCAATTGTTAGTTGGATTATTTTTCAAATTGGGAATGGTAAGAAGAATTTTTATCAAAGGCTTGAGGTTGCCCTTGAATGGCATATGACTATCGATTCTTCACTATCTGACAGATGCTGATCAAGGGCTGAGATGCATGCCGCCTCAGCATCCGTCAAAGAATCTATAAAGGAAACTGTACAAGTAGCATGGTTGAGAAAGAAAATACTTATCCATTTAACTTTCCAGCTGTTCAGACAATGCCTAAATTTCAACAGAAAAGTCGCCTTAATTTGTTTGGATTGTGCACAAGCATGAAATGCATTCTTGACAGAAACCATCTAGTTGTGTTTTCTCATATGTAATTGACATGGAACATTATAGTATCTGCTATGGGCAAGATCTCTTGAATTGAGCGCTTTAGTCATGAAAGACAGTATCTAGATGATCACAATGTATGTTATATACTTGTCCTATAATTATTTTGATTTCTAATATATGGATGTTTTGTTAACAGAAACGGGGATGTATATGCTGGAGAATATTTTGCTGACAAGATGCACGGATTTGGAATCTATAGGTTTGCGAATGGCCATATTTACGAGGGAGCTTGGCATGAAGCGCAAAGACAAGGTCTTGGAACTTACACTTTCAGTAATGGAGAAACTCAATCTGGTCATTGGCAAGATGGAATTCTTGATGTTTTGAGCACGCAGAACAGCAACTATCCTGTATCTCCTGTTGGCGTCTACCATTCCAAAGTGCTCAACGCAGTCCAGGTAAATTTTACACATTTTCTACAACTCCAACATAGAAGTGTTTTTTTGGAGAGTGATGCGCCCGCCCCCACTGAAGATTCAGCCGTTTTTTAGGCATGCTGAGCCTAATGTTATTGGTTAGGTTGATGAGATGGGACGGACACATTTTGACACCTCTACTACCACAGTTAGTTCTCCCGAGGACTGTTACAATTTTTATTTTTATTTTTTTTTATGCTTAAAAATTATTGGTCAGGCTGGGTCGTTTTTTGCCCAGAAGGGCCTGACACATTTTCACTCCTCTACTCCAACATTTAGCCCTTGTTTGATGACCTTAAAATTTAAAGAACATAGTTTTTAATAGTATTTTTTAGAAAATATATGATTAAAAAGTAAAGAATTTTTTTACATTTACATGTATAATATTTTATTGTGCTAATGTATGATTGAAAATGAGTATAAAAAATAAAGTAAAGAGAATCAAATAGGAGCTTAGTTCTACTAAGGCCTATTGTCATTTTTTAGTTCTCTTTCGATGCTATGTTGCTTTCTCCTTGGGATCACCCTTTTCGTCGTTTTTTATGTTGATTATGTGGTACTTCCAAGTTTTCTTGTCAAGCAGACAAGTCATTATTTTGGGGATGTCAAGATTTTAAGTTCTGCCTACGGCGACTAATTAATTTTATTTTGACTTCCAGGAGGCACGCTGGGTAGCAAAGAAAGCTTATGAGGTTACCAAGGTGGACGAAAGAGTAAACAGGGCAGTATCATCAGCTGAGAGGGCAGCTAATGCAGCTCGAGTAGCAGCAGCAAAGGCTATGCAAAAGCAAATGCATTGTAGCAGAAACAGGGACGAGATTTCAATTTCAGTCCTGTAAAATCTTGCATCTGATAAGTTTTCCAGTTGCCGAAGAATGAGATGATTTTTCCTTTTTCTCCTCGAACTGGGCATGATTTGTAGAACCTTAATTTTCAGGCAGCTCATTCTTGCTTTTCAACTCAGTATCATTTTTGTAAAAGTTAAGCTAGGAAAATGTAGTGACCATTCTCAGGGAGGATCCGTATATGGTACTTCAAAAGTAAATTGTTGCAACATCGCCATGCTCGTCTAAGAATTCACACGCATTGAGTTTTGTGTATTTCTCCGAGAGGCATACAGAAGTGTCCGAGCCCTCGTCGGATGTGCAAGTCAAGTCACTGATAGTTTTTCAAACCCTGTGTAATCCCATAAAGGTCCTAAGATTGAGTAACAAACTAGGAATGGAAACTTAATACTTAAGTTCCTGTAGCCTAAAAAGTTACATATCATAGTCATGCCTTAACAAATGACGTTAATTTACCTTTAACAGTGTTAACTATGTCCACAAGAAATTATGCCAGTAATTAAAATCAAGATTTTAATTCAAGTCAATGTCAACGATTAATTTTAACCACACATTTCATAAAATCCACAACTTTTCAACCAGATATTTTATCAACTTATATCAAAATTTACTAAAAATCTGATTTTTAATCTCTACCACACAGGGGCTATAGTGTCATGTTCGATGGGACCTGGTTCTGAAACATTAGAAAGGAAATGGAAAAACTTGATCTCAACAAGTTACTTCAACATATGATAGTCTCAAAATTTTAATTTATCAATACATATTCCAGACATAAACTTGCCAGTTACCGAATCTGAAGTTGCAAAACACAAAATGCAAAAGTAGAGAAGCACATGAATGCAGAAATCTAACACAAAATTCACTAGATTTAACTCTCTGTCTGCTCCCTCAGCCTCCGGATTGTGCTCCTGACAGTCACAGCACTAGCAGTGCTGCCAAAATAAAAGGGCATGTCAATTTTTTTCCCAAAAAAAATGCAGAACAGAAAAGTAGGGGTGTGGAAAACAATTACTTCAATGTGTAAGCACCACCGGCTTTGACTTTGCCACAGTCTTTGCACCCCCAAATACCCACGGCCTTTCTCTTCACGGCATACTGCAAAAGTTACAGTTCAATTTAGGCAAAACTTGTATAGAATTTGACGCACTATATCATATGAAACCTAAGTCAAAGAAGCTTACCTTCCCGCAGAACTCACAGAAATACTTGCTGTGTTGACTGACTTCCATCTTCTTAATCTGCTTCCTCAAACTAGCACCATATCGAGTGCCTGAAATATTATTAGAAAAATCAGAAGTGATTATGAACGCCTGTTTGGCAATCAAGGAAAAGACGTCCAACTGCAAATAAACCTGAATTTGATTCTCTGCAAATATGCTAGTAGCTACTTAATTACCAATTCAAGAAATTTAAAAAAAAGGAGAATTACAGTAAGTTTCACACTTTTCTTTTGGCAGGTCATAACTTCCCATAAATAAACCTCAGCGTGCTCATCAACAGGCCAAAAAAAAAAAAAAATTGCTATCATGCTAGTTGACTCATTTCAATATGCAAACATACACAAAGACTGTTCCTCTCTATTCCCGAAGCTATTATGGGTTACTTCTATAAATCAAACATTTTCATTTGAGAACAGAAAACAAGAAAAACAGGCAGGGTAAAAAGAAAAATTAACAATCATGATGGCACATACCATATTTCCCGACAATGCCCACCTTCTTGGTTCTCTTGGCCTGCACAGATAGAAGAATTATGAAGAAAATCATGATCACGCGAACCTCTACATGACTAAATTCCAATCTATGGGTCAAAAAATTTGTTTCTCCTACAAGCTCTGAAATAGTTGGCATGCACTAAAATTCCATCATATAATCGCAACTGATTTATTAGCATAATGAAGCAATCTTTTCTTTATTCAGTTTTACATAACATAAAAGGGGTTGAAATGCAAACCAAGAAAAAGATGAGAGAATTTGTGTTAGATGCAACTTACTCACTTCCATGTTCTAATTATTTTTAGGTATTCAATAATATATAACAACATTTCCGTTTCTAGCATATTCAAGTCTCCAAAATATTCAAGCGTTGAACACAGCAAATAACATACTGAAATCTCAATAATGATGAAAAAAATACTACATAAACAATTCACCAAGGAAGCTATATTATCGCCAAATTGCGCAAAAATTCTTCATATTTTAGATAAATTAAAGTCGATCTTGTTTTACACATTCCCCCAACACAAACAAAAACATATAACAAGGATCCAAATTCATAAAATCAACAAAAATAAAAAGAAAAAGAAAATTTAGCAGCCAATCCGTTTCTCGCATGAAGTTATCGCATATTCTGTATGTATAGGAAGAGAGAGTACCATCGTAAACGTGAGCGAGAAAAGTACTGAGAGTCGACGGTTGAAGAACAGCTAAACCCTAGATTCAGCTCCAAGCAGAGTCAATAAATTTATAGTCTGCCGTGAGCACAGAAATGGATTAGCTTTTCGTGTGCCCTAAAGGCTTCAAGCCCAAAAATTTGTTTTCTTAAGGGCCCAATTGTAAGGCCCATTAGCCTGTGTATCTGAGTCGGGTTACTGAGGAAAGGAAAATTGAGAAGGTAATTTATTTATTTTTTTGTTAGATGAACATATACCAATTATTTAGATGGCTTTGTATGATGAATACGGTCCTATTATAGAGTTAAGGACGTTGTTGTAGTATATAAAATAACGTTTCGAGTTGTTTAGATCTAGATGAGTTTACATAATTGAGGTCGAACTTGTGATGCAGCGGTATAATGCGAAAAATGAATAACAATCCATATACTTGTTGATTCAATTGAATATCGAGAATTTGGCCTTCAAATATTCGTCGATTCTCTATGAATACCAAACAAATAGGATAATTGAGAAATTATCAAATTTTATTAGAAATAATTAAAGTTACCGTGCACCCTATTTTAGTAGCTTATTCTTTTACAAAAAAATGATATTATTCACTCGGTTCTAGTTCTATCACAAATCACAATTGACTGAATCAACGTATTCAATTGCATCAGCTTGGCAAACTTGTGATAATAGACGGGGCCATAATTTTTTCAGTGGAATGATGAAAAAAATGTTGAGATGGCAAAATATGCACTTATTTTGTATATATTATTGAAAATTAATTTTTTTTTACATATATTAAAAAATTCAAAATATTGAAGGGGTGATTGCTACTCAATGTCTCCCCCGAAGCTCCATCATAGCTAGTGATATCAAACTCTCTTCTACGACTTAATTTTAAAATCCTTTTTTGGGTAAATGTAAAATTTATTGATCAAAACTCATTGACAAGTATATCGAGCATACATTGGCAAACAAGATCAAGTGACAATTACAAATACTCTGGACATATCCAAATAAACAAAATGAAAAGATGTACAAACAATAATAATTAATGACTCAATGCTAATGACTCGAAATGGATTAAAATATACGAATATAAAGTAAACATAACTTTGTATATGAGTGTTTTAATTCATCTTACAATGCAATCAACTTGTGGTCTAAGTGTAAGTATTATGCCCTAGGTCCAATCGACTTTGGACATAAATACTTTTATATATAATTAATGCAATTAAATGGCAGATCTATTATTTAATTAATAGACAATTAAATAAATAATAGAGTCCGTAGATTCAAATATTTTAATTTGTTAATCACAAGGAATTGTGATTGTGAGATACAAATTACATCTGATTGAATCTTAAATCATCCGTGGTCGTAAGTAATAACGAGATACGGATATCGTTATTACGGATAGACCATCACGTGTGGCATTTCTTACTTGTGAAGTAAGTAGCTGATCTCACAAGTTAAAGTGTGATAACACTTAAATGAACACGTGGATGTTTGTTATAGAACAAAACATTGGAGACCCGTCGAGAGATTCCACATGGATAACTATCTGAGTGTCGGTGGTTAATCTCTAACGTTCGGTAGTGAAATTGGTCCTTTGACTTGAGGTCGTCATGGTACCTTATATGAGGACAGTCATACTTTGGCGGTGTTGGATGTTGCTCTGAAAAGGGCCGCTAATACGACATCGTTCGGGTACGTCAAGAATCGTATGAAGGTTGTGATTGATCAATAAAGGATTCGTCACTCTTAGATAGTAGGAGATTATGATCTGCGTTTCATTCAATTAAGTCAATGATCAAATCCTTGGCCAAGGTGTACACATAAGTCGAAAAGGAGTTTTCGATTTATATTGACTTAATAGTGGAGTGAAAGATATAATCGATGATCGAGATTGACACAATTCCATATCTCGTAATTGATCGGATCATACTGACGAAGGGATTATA